AATAGACAATAGAATAGAATTTACCAATGCATTTTGTCCTTTGATGGACTTTATCAAGGTCAATGTTGGGATTTTATTTTGCAACATGTATTTATAGACAGAAGTTAAAATATCGCTAGGTTTTTAAAATTCTTAAATTTAAGAACACTCATAAGGTAAACTATGGCAAAATCCACTGAAAAGTCCAATGAAGCAGGTGGGTGGGGTTTACTATCATTATTTCAATAAGGTATTTTCTTTTCTTGTTACACATATGAGAGAGAGAGAGATATGGCGTACACAATTATTTGGGAAATTGTATTGCAATGACATGAAAGACAAATCTTACAACAAAACAGGCATCAATACTTGGAGTTCATATCAACTCGGAATGAAAAAGGACAAGACAAGTTTTTCTGCAATTTGGTTTTATTGTTCCATTTACAACATAATGACATCTATTTTTATATGGAATGTTCAATTTTTGTTCATACATTTTCTTGGTTATGCATTTTTAAAATACTAAATATTAGATTTTAAAAGTACATGAAAAAAACAAAACAAAAAGCACACTATTTTTTCATCAGGTGAAAAAAAAAAGAAAAGAAAAAAAATCAATTCTTCTGAGTTACTATATGAATACAATTATTTAGTTGAATATTGTAGACATTGGTGTATTTCATTTAAAATGATTGGTTGAACTGATCGTTAATTACTGGACCTAATTGGAAAAGATAAGCAATTAGGTGTTTAAGTGGTTAACTTAACACAGTCACATAATAAATAAGTATATAAATAGTAAATTAATTTTTTTTTAAATATTCTGTTAGCTGTCTGGCTTTATCTGAACTAAATAAAATAGTTAAATAATTCCATTAAATAAATCCATTTAAAAATATTTGATTAAATGATAAGAACAATTCTTTTGTTGGGTTTAGAGATGCCTTAGTAGTGTAATTTTTGTGTATTGCAACTACAAGATATTAATGCCCCAATCCAGAAATGTCTGTTTGGCAAGCATAAAGAAAAACCTGCCTTTAGTGCTTAAAAGATTTTATTGTATATATGTTTAAATAGGATTTTAAGGGAGAACAAAAGAGAGAATTAGATGATCAAGATCACATAGGGACACAAAAACAGAAAATTATTTAGCTTCTTTAATCTATTTGAAGTGTCTAAGTCAGATTGTCAGTATCATCACAATATCAATATCTGTTGATGGATTGAAGTCTTTATAGCAAAAACATTACATGAAACATCTTGATGCATGTTAATAAAGTCTTTGTATCTGTTATTGTAATTTCATCATTCAAAAATGATTATAAAACCAAATTTCATCAAGTAAAAAGATCATCTTCAAGAGTGAAGCAGGAAGCATTAAGGTTGGTTTTCAAAAACGTTTTCTGCTTCCATTGTTTTTTCATAAATTTATAAAATATGTTTTTATTTTAATTATGCCAGTAGTCGTTTTTACAAATGGCTTCTTTTACATTGTGGGACTTAACAAATGTCCTTGAACAAAGGCAATTGTGTGAAGAATTGATAAAAAGATAGGAATCCAAAAAGTAAAAAACAAAATGTCAGTGTCATGAAAATAATGATAATTGACAGTGCATTGATGTGACAAAAATCATGGGATAGCAGTATATAAAGGTAATGGTAGGTAGTGCCACCATACGTTGATGTTATAGAAATACCCAGATTTATATCAAGTGTAATCTAACATCTGGTAAGTCAATGTGCACACCAGTTAGTCTGATCATGGCAAATTGACATAAATTATCAGAATTCAAACAGAGTATATTTGATACCAGATGGATGGTCTATTCTATTTTTGAAATTGTTGGGACATTCAGTCTACAGTCATGTGTATATCAGGAATACAAGATGGAAGTTATTACTGACCACTACAGACAGTGCAGTAGCAAACCACAGAGGCATCAGGCAACAATTGTCTGCAGTAAAAGACAAGTGAGACTGTCTCAAATCATATGAAATGATATATATCCAGCAGACCAATGCCACATAGAATTGCAGCACTCCTCCATGCTAGAGGAGGTCCTACAAGATACTAGGCAACTATCCTATAACCTATTGTATAGATCATTGTGATTATAAGAGAGTCTGTTTCATGGTCAAGTTTTTTGTGAAAATTTCTATATAACACTTAATTTTCCAAGGCCACATTATAGCTGAATTTCCTACTGGCAGTAACTGAGGAAAAACAATCACATAATGATGATGATAATAATAATAATAATACAAAAGTAATATAATTGATGTTTTGGGAATTTTTTTTTTTAAATAGTTATAATTCCAATCTTTTATTGCCTTCTATGTTCAGCAATGATTTATTTTACACAATTCTTGAAGAGATTCTAATTACTTATTGCTGACTTATTCCTAGACTCTATTAATTTCATTGGGGTTTCATGTTTCATAAATTGAACAAATAAAACTTCTAAATGAAATCCTAAAACTTATATAATGGTACTATATCATGGCCTGACTTCATATATGA